TCCCTCTGTCCCCGGTATTAACTATATAGGAAATAACAAGGGGAAGTGACTTTGAGAGGAACAGACTATGAAATGTACTTCGTGACATAGTTTTGAGGCACTGCGTCACCGACCTTGCGTCAATAATATGATGCGAAGAGGGGCCAGCTGACGAAGAAAATATCTCTCACTAGTAATCTCCTGTGTTTTACGGCGCCTACAACTGCATAAAGTCATATGAGCGCACGGTATATTTCAGTTGGTATGAAAATTTGAATTTTGCATTGGTGGCGGCCGACGCCTACTCCTATCTAAAAGTTGGGGTGTTCGCCTCTCATTTAAAGGCCCCTAGTTCAAATCCTGGTAGTAACGGAAACGTTTCTTCTATAAAATTGTCTTCTTTCACCACCTTTCCTGATCTCTAGCAATGTTCTGTCGTCCGATTTCATCCCAACTTTCTGCCCCCCCCCTCACCTCCTTTCCCCCCTCCTCTGGGTGCCTGACTCTCTCTGCAGCCTTTCTACAGTTGCTCCTTGGCTCCTTCTCACTACTGTCTTTCAGCCACACCCCTGATCTTCTAGTAAGAAAGATCTACACCTAGCCTTCTCGGACAAGGGCAAAAAGTTTCGGAGGTGCCGTGTGCTGGTTGTACATGTTAAAGATCCCTTGGTATTCTAAAATCGATATGAATCGGCTTCAGCTGTCACCCGGACAAAATTCAAGATTTCCCACCATCTGAAAATGTAAAACACTTACCCCCCTCCCCCACCCCCCCCCCCCCACACACACACACACACACACACACACACACACACACACAAACAAATAAAAAAAAACTACAAAAAACAAACAAACTGGAAACTACCAGACTTGTCTAGTACTATATTTCTGCCGTCGTAAGGGAAAACGACGAATGGTCAAAATTTTTCGATTTGTTAATTTTTACATATTTCATATAGTATTTAATTCTTCATCTGATGGTGTAAATTTTTGTGTCATATCCTAATCCGTTGTTGCGTAATTGAGAGTTCGTCGTTTTCCCTTACACTGGCGAGCTCCGAGCCAGAGCTCGGTGTAAGGAAGAACGAAGAATGGTCGATCGGTCAAGGATCACTTCTCGTTCAGCATTGTCCCCTGGTCTCTGCTGTCGGGCAAATACTGGAAGGGTGACGAATGACAATTGATCACTGTTGCGTCAGTACAAACATACTAGGTTTTTTGTCAACAAACACACCACCATCCCCTCCCCCGGAGTACCGTCTACCAGGTATATAAGGACGTATTACTTAGTGTGTCTTTCTGTCTGTCTTCCCGTATTAGGTCTATGCTGATGGTGTGAATTGACAAGAGCAGGCGGGAGAGAGGGGAAAACGGATGGGAACAGGGGGAAAGGGGTGGAGATGGGAGGGTCAAAAAAGCATTTAGGGAGAAATTTATTAGCACTGCATATTAGTGTCCGCCAGATGTTCACAGACTAACGTCATGTTAGTTTGCTGTCCAGTCATTTGGCATTCCAAATCCCAACGATGGTTTTAGTGCCACAATTTGTCTAACACGTGTCACTGGTGGACATCATTATAGAATTACCAAACAATTAATGACACTGCGTTATAAGAGTACATTTCTTTGTCCAACTTAAAAAGTGGACGTATTGTGGCGACACTTAGTCTTGCTTTACGATTTTTTATGACTTGATGGACGTTACGATCGAGTATAATAATGTCTTGCAGATTCAAACTGTCCATGTCGATCTCTACTTTGTGGTAGGCCTATGTTTTCCGATCCGATCAACTGAATCCTTTATTAAATACAAAGCGTTGCATTACCTCTCCTGAAAGCGATTGTGATACAGTCTTTTCAGATTGTTATATTTCTCACGTGAAAGTTTGTTCTCACTTTGCAACGATCTTATCGTATTATTGACATTGTAACATTGGTGATCCCTTTGGTCGTGCAGGGAAAATTTTGCAATTAGCAAAAAATAAAAGTAAAACTCGCTTCTGAAAAGAATACAATAAAGAGATATCGTGGAGACCAAACCTTGGTTCTGAATGAAACAGTTTTAATTAAATCAAGCTGTTGAAAATGTGTGCACATCTGATTTGTACACTGACTGTGTAGTATTTAACCAAGCGAGGAAGGGAAACAAAGGATGTTTACCGAGTTACAGTTTGGATATAACAAACATCTAACTTTATACGTGCTTTATATAGTTATATATATTGTGTATGTGTGTCAAAAGGTGAATTACTTAAGCTACTGGTGCAGTCCATTTCCGAGGCAGTCATATTTTTTGTAAGGCAATAATTATTGCTGTTGTTACTGTTGCTGTTTTGGGTGTTGTTGTTGTTGTTGTTGTTGTTGTTGTTGTTGTTGTTGTTGTTGTTG